GGACAAAGCGTAGTGTTAATATGTATTTAGAAGACACATACATGTGACGAATGTGTCTTAAGAAGTGCAACTCCGCAATCTTCTACTGATGCTTTTTCAATGCTGCTCACTCTTGCTAGTTCCGACATCAAAGTCTCCATCTCTTGTGTCTGCAAAGTGCATTAGAGAAGTTGTTTTGTTTCAGTTTCATCTTTTGCTTGTGTTCATGTTGTGAGTGAAAAATTCATAGATAGTATTTTGCTGACCTTAGGTACAAAACTTCCAATGTGTTGCATAATCCCTTCCATAGATTTTGAAGCAACAACAAGTGCTTCTGCTAACTCTTTAGTATCAACCTGGTTTTGATCAGAAGCAAATGTTCAGTGCAAAATGTACCACAATAAAAAGAACAATATTCTTCCTTTTCAATGCGAGTAAACAAAATACATACCTTAATATCAACATCAAGAGGGAGCCGCAATGAAGCATTCACTAAAGCTTGAGTTGTTTCCGAAAGAGAAGCTAAGTAATCTTCTTCTATAACAGTCCATTGTTCCAAAGAAGGAATCTGCATAGAGTAGTAACCAATTACAAAACATTCATGTATGTAAGAATAGTTTGACATATATAAGATGTTTCAAATCCGACTTACTTGAGACTCTACTATATCCGTAACAGCTTTAACTCTCCGTAAACGTTGCAGCTCTACGCGTTTCTTCTGTACAGAATCCGACAACTCCGACATTTTCACACCAAGTGTATACAACATTCTCTGCAACAACATCATTTACAGTTAAAGATAGAGACCTAATCCACATTTACTTCTGATATATTTACCAAACACAATACTGTCTTTACCAAGAGTACTAAATCTGAACTAATCCATCAATTTCTGATTCTTAAGAGTTGAAAGATCAGAAACTGACCTCAGCTTGTGATTTCTGAGACTGTGTTTGGACCTCAGCATTCGCATTCGCAAATCGCCATTGCAAGTGGCGGTTATGTAACAGTTTCAGAGAGTGTGCATCCGCTTGTTGTCCTAAAACTTTCTTCTGCTTTTTCGCATCGGCTTGAATCTTCGAATTAGGCACCACTGGAGGCAATGACAAACCAACCCCATTCTTAAACGACAACGAAGCTCTAACATCTCGAAACATCGAAGAATCATCGCACGAAGAAGACGAACTCAACGATCGATAAAGAGGCAAAGCTTTTGGATTGTTGAATAGCTTCGGATTGTTGTTTTCTTCACCGTCTATAGAACCTGATAACGATGAGTGTAGAAGCTTAGTCGCTGCAGAGGAAGAAGCAAGCAATCTCTGTTGGTTAAGACGAGATCTAGACGGTGGAGGCAACATCGGTGTCGGTGTCGGAGTGTGGTGTTGTCCGTTTTCTTTTAACGGTTTCGATTGATTTAGATGATGCTTTGGGTGGTTTTTGCCTCCGTGAGGAAACGGCGAGTCTAGGCTACGTGCAGTCTCGGAGAGGCGATTCTCGTCTCCGTCTACCATTTTTAGCTGTCGTCTTAGTCTCTGAGCCGAATTCGACCTCTGGTTCTGGTGAATCTGGTGTTGATGATGTCTCGGATAATTCGAAGTTAACGAATGGAGATCTCCGGCGCAAGATGATGATGAAGATGAAGAAACCGGAGACATGAATCTCGAACTGACTTCTCTCACTCTCGGCCTCCTCGTTGACGGTGGAGGAACCGGAACCGGAGTCGGAGCAGTAATCGCCGGTGTTGATGGTTGCTCTGGTACAGATCGGCCGATTCTCGACTCCATTTGTAATCGAATTTCTTCAAAATATCACCGGAGAGGTCAAGATTCGATCGGAAATTTTAGAAATTCGTTCCGATTAGAGATTGTTCGAATCGAATTGGAAAATTCCGAAACCCT